TACCTCTTCATCTAGACTTATTCATGGGATTTGTGTACGCCTGATCCTACTTTCTGGTTCCAGGGTGACCTCATGACCTAGTTCTGGCCAGTAAAAGTACTGCATCTTTCTGGCCAAGGGAGTTCAGAAGTGGGCATGTGACCCAGGCTGAGTCAAGAAGCCATTCAGCATTGCATCAAACATCAGTTCTAACACTTCCTGGATGTACTGGGGCGTGAGACAATCTCCTTTTATAAAGGTGTTGGGTTGGAGCTGCCACTAGTTGTCTCACTACCATATGAGGGAACTCCCTGAGAATGGTGCCAACAAAGAGATTAATGATGGAGCTGGATCCAGCTTTGCCTGAAGTCAGATACACCTATGGATTTTAAAGTTATACAAAGCCAACAAAATTTCCCTTTTTGCTTGGCCAGTTTGAGTTAGATTTGTGTTCTTTTGTGACTTAAGAGCCATTGACTAATCTAGAGTTTTTCATCAGTGTCCTTAGTTGGTTTTTGTTTTTGTTTTTGTTTTTGTTTTTCCCAGATGTCTTTAAGGTGCAGAGAGGGAAAATACAGACAACTCAATTCTGGTGTTGGACCATTGACAGCAGGAGCTCATTTCTCTTATCCCTCATATTTAGAAAATAACCTTCTGATAGTTTTTACACTTGTGTGGCTATAACGCATTCCATCTTAAATCCCTTTCCTAAGATGGTTAGCATGACCTCAGCATCTTGCTCCCTCTTTCCTCTGACTGCAGAATTCACCAGATGTGTCTTTCTTGTCTAGAGAGCTGCCAACTGGGTGCCTGGGTGGCTCAGATGGTTAAGCGTCTACCTTCAGCTCAGGTCATGATCCCAGGGTCCTGGGATCGAGTCCCGCATCAGGCTCCCTGCTCCTTGGGAGCCTGCTTCTCCCTCTGCTTCTCTCTCTCTCTCCCTCCCTCATGAATAAATAAATAAAATATTTAAAAAAAAGAATTTTATAAAAAAAAATAGCTGCCAACCATGTTTCTTCAAGTTGGCTCCTAAGGCCATCTTCATAATAGGGTGAGCAAATCTTTCAGAGTGTTTTCATTTATTCACCCAACCATCACCTGAACCAATCCCCTTTGCCAGAAAGATACACTACCATGTATTCTATGACAGCAGGAAATTCCAGTACCTCCTTCCCATCTATGTGTCTATAAACCCCTTTCATAGATAAAAGTTCTAATTTAGCCAGAGAGTTAAAAAGAGGAGGAAGCATATGGTGTATGCCACGCAGCTCTTGAAAAAAGACAATAATAAAGGTACTGATATTTTTAGAAAACTCTGGAGCCATCCCATTTCTGAAATTACTTACAGGATCTTCATGCTGCCATTAAAATAAGCAGCTCATCTTTATCTGCTAATAAAAAATACCACAGCCTGTTGCCAGAGGACTGTGATCGTCTTAACAAGTTTTTACAGAAAATAACATACTGGGAGATAACAGGTATTATGTTTTCTTTTGGCAAATATTAACACTTCACAGCTAGCATATCTTGCTTACTTAATTGGACCTATAAAAGCTCGCCAGGCCGTTTCACTTCTCGCCATTGAAATTCTCTCAACTTGTTCTTTACAGCTTTTCAGAGCCTCCATGGGAAAACAGCTACAGAACAGGCTGGCTGAAAAGATTCTTAAGGTCTCATGTCCATATTTACAAACCTTGCAATCTGTGTGTGTTCATTTATTTTAACACACATGAAGTGAATAAATCAGAGGCTCCTTTGGGAAAAAGAAAACCACTGAATCTGCGAGAAAAGGAACCAAATCTGTCCACTGAGGCAAGTCCTAAATGATCACTATAGAGTCCCCTGCAGCCCTGGCCACACACCCTTGCCTCCAGTGGAATGAAATGCTATTGCTAAGCTCATTGAGAAGCTAAGACCCCTCTATACTACAGAATTTCTCACATATATTATTGTCCTTTTTTTTCCATTTCGCCTCAGATGTCTGTATTCCTGGCTAGACTGTGAGTTCCTCCAAGGTAGCGATAATACTATATTCTTGGATTGACACCCACCTGGCCTATGTTAAAATTAGATCAGAGCCATAGAGAAAAGACAGGGAGAAGCAAGTGCTGTGGGAGCAAGTGAAAACCCAAGAGAGCAGTGGGAAAAGCCTTCAGCTCCAAGCCGCCGGACAGAGAATTGCCTACAGGATAGCCTGGGAAAATCAGAAAGTCCGAGGCAGGCCAAAGAAAGAATTATTAGTTCCACTGACAACAATATATTTTTAAAAATATTCATAGATCTTAGTAATCTTTCCAGTGATTGCTTTACTAATTTTGGCTTTGGAGACTTCTGTGAGCCTACTTTTATTCTGTCTGGTCTCTTAAAAGTAGTTCTTAGGTAACTTATCTTCCTAATTTCCTTCTTGATAGTTTGGAAGCTTCCCAGTCTAGTGACTCCAGGGAATATTTGTAGGCCTCTACATCTGAAGTACTAGGCCTGGGAAGTTCTGAGTCCTGAAAGTGGTTTTTCATGATGCTGACCCATGTAACGATTTTGTTAGAGAAGTTGAACTACTTTGCTTATTACTGCAGTGATTGGAATCAATGTCCTATTTTTAGAATCGTGGGTCCGAAACCTTGATAACCACATGGAGAAGCACCTGGAAGCCCTCCCTTGGGCCCCATCCCTCTCTTTCATGGGCTGGTGATCCAATTTTAACAAGCCCCCTCTGTGATGCCGAAGACCAGACGGATTAGGAACCACAGTCTCAATAAAAGCTGCCTTGTTAGGTCTGGCTGACTGGCAGGTATGAAATGTTAACTTTCTAAACTTGCTTTCCTAGGTCTATCCAAAAGTAGCAAGAGAACAGTGTAATTTCTCAGGCCTGTGCTGGGCAAAAAATACTAGTGTTTTTCCTTGGCTTGTGGAGAGGCGAGGAAAGGATGCTGAGATTCTCATCCCTGGTTTGGAGTATCTCAGGCGATCACAAAGAGCACTAGTCTTTTATGACAGTGCATTTTGCAAGCATCCCTTTGGGAAGCCTTAGTCCCCACTCGTCTGGGAAACGTAAAATCAGTCACTTTTGGCAACGCTTAATATACTTGAGCATGGGAAACACAAATTAAAACAGAGATACTTCTTTACTCACTAGATTGTCTGGTTCCACATTTGCTTGGAATAAAGATAGAATCTTTAAGATAGCAAGGACCTGAGTATATGGGTTATCTATTTCAGGTTTGGTGAGGGTCAGGGAAAACTTTCAGTCTCATGAAGGTTAAGCATTTTCAGTCTTTCCCCTTGATGTAAGGAGATCACATAAAATAAAGTCAAAACAACCAGGACTGCTTAATCTAAAATTACTTGTCTTATTTTGTTCATAGGAGTTCATGGTGATGTTGAGATGGAGGACTTTTCAATGCCCTGCACATGGTGGTCTGTTTTGGTTATGGTGGAACCAGCTTCCCTTTATTTGATTGCTTGTTTGTTTGGTAGAGGGAGCAGAGCCTTATGTATACAGTCTCTCATCAAAGTAAATATGTTGATCTCAATTAAGTTTAAAACGAAGTGAATTGTTATCTAAATTGTTATTCTGTGGAAATCTTTCTCTTCCGTTACTGAGAGTCTAAGCAACCAGTTGCCCCATCATTATAAATGCCGTTCTGTTTAATCCTAACATCTGTAATAAAACCAACATAAAGCTATTTGTTCTGATCTGCAGTTACAAAATGCCTATCTCTGGAAGAGGCCAGAGCCATTTGGCTGGAGACCGCCAATCCTTACTCCGCATTTCTGATTAAACTCTATTCTACCAGGAAGAATCTACCGAGCCGAGGAGTTTCAGGGGCTCTGCACGCCCGTGGTGGGTACTGCAGCTGGCTTTCAAACACCAGCATAAAAGTGCGAGGTGCCACCCCTGCATGCCACAGCACCCAAGTGAGAAACAGAAGGCATCCACTTGGTTGCTGGACTCTACTCTCCCAACCCTGACGTCATGAGCATGAATATGAGTGTGAAAATCAGGGAAGGAAACTCTCCTTTAACAGATTTGTCCTTCACAAGAGCTGGTGTCTTTAGTGGCCACCAGGGATAAGAGAGTTCCTTAGGTGGTTCTCAAAGCAGCAGTAAAAACGATAGTAGGAGGCAGTAACCATCAAAGACGGTGAGGTGAGAGCTGCCCTCACTGCAAGGACATCATTATTACCACGGACAGCTCTGCTCCGATAATGTGAGTAACGAGAGCCAAGATTTACTGAACACCAACTCGGTGGCAGGCACCTACTCTAAGTATGTGACATGTACTTTAAAGCAACTCTAAGTACTCTCTTCTGGTATTTTTGTGGATGCTCAAAAGTTAAGTGTATTTTGTTGGTACAGCCATGCCTACTTGAAAAAGACAAGAGAATGAATCATGCCATCCTGGAAAAGCCCACAGAATCTCTCTTCAGAGGTCACAGTGTTCTTTTCTGCTCGCAAATGTTGAAGGATTTGGCAAAGAGAACCCTCTAATACAAAAACTGTTTTTATCCCAAACTAAACTTCTCTTAGCGTACTGGTAAGATTGGCAAAATGGGAATTATTCAGGTGCGATATACACACGACTGGTATCTCTGAAGATGACCATTCTGAAATTTACTTCTATCCTTTCCCAAAGGAAACCCATGGCTTGTGTTGCATGGTCTGTTAATGCTTGCCCAGATTCTGAAACCCAAGCGATGGGAGGCAAGGATTAAGGCTCAGTAGATTCTGTGTCCTCTTTAAAATATCGACCATCTGCTCCACCCTAACACGTTGGTATACAAGTCCAACAGAGAGTAAATATGAAAGCAATTAAAATAAACTACTGTGCATTAGTGTGGTTTGATTTATGTAAACAACTTCTGTGGAACAAGATGGCTGTGGTTTGGGTAACATTCATATCCATGAAACTCAAGTAACCTAAATAGAACCTGGTATGTCTAGAACATTCTTAGTCATGTTCTTCTGCTAGAAACTATCTCAATCGAGATGAATTCAATGATTAGAATGAGGCCCGAGCTTACCCAGTGAAGGTCATAATCTAGCCTCGCTCTTCCCTCATCGTCCTCATATAAGGTGAATCCTTCCCTCCGGGCCTGATAATACTCTTTCCGCAACTTCTGGATGCGGTCCGTGCTCCCACTCGCAGGCCGGCCACTGCAGCAGGACATAATCAAACAAACACAGTCACACAGTGTACATCATCCTGGAAAGTCACTTTTTGATCTTATTAAAGGAGCTGACATCTAAATGTGGAAGATTCAATAATGTAATTCAAATATGCTAGGAAAACCGTAAAATCAGTAATAAAAGTTAACAAAAAATGGTCTTTATGTAAATACATTTAGCTCTAAGGGCCAAAACATCTGACTTGGGATTAATAAATGTCTTTTGAGTGAAAAGGTAAGATTAGGTCCTGACCTTTAGGGCAATTAAAAGAGCCATCCCTTTTTTCTTACAATCATCTCCACTGAGTTTGGTTAAATTTTAATGCAGTTATTTCATTTTCTCCATTAAGAAGTTGCCAATTTGAGACCAGTTGTTTGACCTGAAGATGGGACGTGGCACTGAGTTGGCATGTGCCATTCTTCATGTCAGTGACACTGATGGATTTCTGGCATGGGGGGTTGCATACATGTCAGCATTCGGGCCCACAGGGCATGGGGAAAGTGAAGAAGGTGAAAGCCACATCAAGAAGTAAAAATAAAAATTAAAAAAGAAATGGGTGATAGTAGAATGTGCCATCTTCGTTACTTGTCCAAGATTCTCCTCTCTCTACTTTAGTCACTTTTTTCTCTCAGGAATTACAGTTTCTCCAGTGACTCATCCATGCAACCCCAAACTGGTCAGCCAGTGGCTCCCTTTTAGCTTGGATTTGTCATGAACGTTTCAACAGAACAGACATCATGGGATATAATTCAGGGCCAGGAAATAAGAGGAGAATGCTAGGTACATTTCAATAACCATTCAGCTTCTTTGGTTCATCTGAGACATAACTGAGTGTCTTATGTTAAGATCTAGGAAAGTGAAGACAAACAGTTCATAGTCCTCGTCTGGAAAAAGCACATGGTCTGGGAGGAAGGGGACCGAAAGGCATATAGAAGGCTACAATCCAGGTGCTACAACAGCAGTCTAATAAGGGACCATGGGGACAAAGACCGCTTAAACTGACAGGGAGAGCAGGGTCACGGAAGGAGATTATGGAAAGCTCCATGGAGGAGGTGACACATTAGCTGAGTCTTGAAAGATATACAGGTGCTCAACAGCTGGACAAGTGAGATGAGGAAATTTCAGGTAGAGGGAAGGACAATACAAAGGACAGCAATGAGAAAGCATCTTGCTTTGGGGGAACCAACACAAATAAGTCCATGTGGGCAAGCAGTGATCCTCAACTTCTTCTGTCCTGGCTCACACACATCTCAGGCAACACATGTTCCCTTCCCTTTCTCATTTAGGGAGCAAGTTAGAATGCAAATAGTGCTGGTGATTTTAGGGATATTTTGAATTTACTCTAATCAGTGACAGAAGTAGATCATCTGCAAATTTGGGTACTTGCACTCAACTCATAGCAACGGGCTAATCATACGGACACTTGTGTTTGATGGGTAGGCAAGGGCAGAGGGGAGGGGCCAGCGAAGGGGGACAGGCGAGGCTGAGAGGGGGAGGAAGGGACCCCCTGGGAAGAGGTGTGCTTGCCAAAAGGTCCCCCCGTAGTACAGTGGAGTTTTAGTTTAAATGAGACTTCACATTAAAGGAGATATCTGAAAGCGGCAGAAAGAAGTCATCGACTCTTTGGTGTAAATTTTTGAAATTAGACTTGTAAACTCTAAAAAGAAAATGGTAAGTGAACATCTTTTGGAGGAAAAGCATTCTTCCCCAACTAGATTGTAAGTTAATTGGTGATGTCTTACAACATTGCTACAAAGTTAGCACAGGGCTCTGGGCTTCCTACACATTCTACAGACACTCAGCAGCCAATGCCTTTTATGAACAAAAGACGAACCCTCTGGGATCACATTTCTTTATTTTCCTCCAATATGATTTAAAAACTCTCAAGACAGTTCTGTTCTTTTCTAGGCTTTTCTTAAAGTAAAAGTTTTTCAAGCAAAAAAGCAGAATCAGACCTATAAATACAAAGAACATCCCGGTGGTTGCCAGAGGAGAGGGAGTTGAGAGAGGGGCAAAATGGGTGACGGGGACTGGGAGGTCGAGGCTTCCAGTTATGGAATGAAGAAGTCATGGGGAAGAAAGGCCCAGCATAGGGAACATAGTCGACGGCACTGGAATAGCATTGCATGGTGACAGATGGGAGCCACATTTGTGGCGAGCACGGCACAACATAGAGTTGTTCAATCACTATGTTGTACCCCTGAAACTAAGGTAACATCTATACTCAAATAAAAAAAAAAAAAGAAGTTTTTGAGCATTTGAAAAAGACAACAATAAGAAAAATAAAGGAAGGTCTGATATGCTTTTCTGAACCATGGGATGGCAGGCAGGGCAGCCCAGCTGTCTGTGGACCAGCTTCCCTTCCTCTTGAGTACCGTGAGCTGTCTATGGTGCCTGTATGTAGTGCACAGGCTTCTGCTGATGACGTGAATGTGTGAGCCAGGCTCAAGCTCACCAGATGAGTTCAATCAACACTGTGCAAACATTGCATACATAATCTATTAGTTTACCCAAAGAAACTGAAGCACAGAATTCAAGTGGAATGAAGTCATCAGTAATAAAGGAAAAAAAAAAAACCCGATAAGGCACTGTTCTAAAACTCCCCATAACTTTCCTACATTTGTGGTGAAAAAAAAAATCATACTCAGACTATAAACTATTCTTCCATATGCCTACAAATACATACATTTAAAAATATGGGTTTGATCAGATTTTAGTTCTCAAATAGAGAGAATGGCAAGAATACAAAATCAGCTGTTTAGGATTCAGAAAAATCCCCTATGGCTGAAAGGAACATGACTATTTACTCAGAAAAGAAATCTGGCCTCAGAGAAAAAAAAACAGGAAAAAAGTCTAGAAAGTCATGGACCATCTAAGTGCAAAACATGCTATATCTTCTCCCTTGTGTGAATATTTTAAAGAAGACGTGGGACATGGTGCAAACTTTTCATAAGGACCCGGGACTGCATCTCACTCTTATCTCTTTTTTTTTCTCTCCAGCCCTCATCCTGTCCTTAGTAACTATATCAGATTTTCCCCTTAATTATATTAAATGTTTAATAATGAGCAAATTCCGATTTCATTTTTCAGCTCTTCTCTGCAGATAATACTCACACACTTACCAGGAAGTCAATAAAAATGATAAGCACAGCTATTGTGACCGAAGCAGTTAATTGATCCCATTTTGTATTGAAGATGTAAGAAATGTGAAGAGGAACATAAAAACACCTTTGTCATAACAACAGCAATAATTATAATAGCTCTTATTTACGGAGCACTTATATAACAAACATATTGATACAGGCTGTTACTCCCTCCACTTCCTGCCCAAAGCAGACCTAAGTAATCGATTACAGCATTCTTTCCTGATGAACCTAGACGTGGCCTTAGAATCCTTCTCAACCCAGAACTTCAGAAAGCCACTACCAATCTGCCAAAAGATTCCTTAGAAGCTTCAGAAGTTTCATCAGATTATGATGTCACTCAAATAGCCTTGCAACCATATAAAATCAAAGTATCAATAACCCTAAGTTCCTACATTGAAAATTAGGCTTTCTGTATTATTTGTTCACTGGATGAAGTAAAGGTTGGCCATTCTTCCAAAAATTCCTATTCCACCTGTATTCATATGTAGATGGTCAGCGCCCCTCCTACTCTTTCAATGTGCTGAAATTTTATGTAAAATTAATTCAAAATTATAAAAAACAGATTTATATTGTAGTGACTTCTTGTAAATGATACTGCTTATGCCTTTAAAGGTAGATGTATAGTTAAATGGGCTCTTCTTATTACACTTCCGAGCTGGACAGAGTTTAAAGGAGTTCAGAAACCATATCCTTTTCGTCACAGTAATATATTCCCATATGCAGTAAACTTATAGTAATACATTTCCATATGCAATAAACATCGCAGTGAGGCATTATCTGCTACTTTGAAATCTAACCTTATTCTTCCTATTCTTTATATTCTTCTAGTTTACAGTGACCTCAATTGAAGTACATTTTATTTATTTATTTTTAAAGATTTATTAATTTGAGAGAGAGAACGAGTGACGGGGAGGGGGAGAGAGAGAGAGAGAGAGAAGCAGACTCCCCACTGAGCAGAGAGTCTGATGCAGGGCTTGATCCCAGGATCCCAAGATCATGACCTGAGCGAGCGGAAGGCAAATGCTTAACTGACTGAGCCACCCAGGTGCCCCTCAACTGAAGTACATTTTAAAATGAGTGTTCGTTTGTGTATGCCATGGTCTCCTCCCATTACTGCTGCAGGCTGGAGAAAAGAAGCTAACATGTATTAAGCTCCCATGATGCCCTAAGTTAGTATTTATGCTTTACATAGTTCATCTCGTTTAATCCTCAATCAAATTTGTGAAGATAACACAGTTAGTGACATTTCGCAGATGCCGGCACTGAGGCTCAAAGAAGTAAAGTAGCACAGTCGGTGAATGGTGGACCAGGGGTTGTGTGACTTCAGGACCAGTGTGATTTCTACCATATCACGTTGCCTTGCAAGAAAGGCATTAAAATGCAGCAGGCATTTTGTAGCAGAAGTTCACAGGCATTTCAAGGCAGAGGGAATTTAGCAGAACACATTTATAGCCATACCTTTTGATATTCTTTTATTTGCACAGAACTTTGCAACAAAAATAGAAATCGAAGTAGTTAAAGTAATAGAAATACAAGCAATGAAGTCTGTATTCGTTAAAGAATGATGTTGGAACAATTGCAGACTGAGATTTCTGGGTAATTAATATTACATCTCTAACAGGCTTATGTGGGAAAGTGGTATAAAAATGAATGGGGTGCAAAAGAGAAGCAACCTAAGACAGACATCCCACGTGAAAGTGAAACTCTGGAGCACGACCAGGACTGAGAGGCATCCAGGGCTGCTCCCGGCAAAATTCACCACTGACTGCATGAGAGGGAGTTGATCCCTGGCAATGAACCATTGCTGGACTTGCGAATTAATCTGCAGTGACTGTGTGTGTA